TTGGAGTGAAGAGCAGCGAGGATGGGGCGACACTGCTCACGGACACATGCCATTGGCTGTGATGGTTTCTACGGACATCCGGACACTGATTGTGATGTTCTCTACGGACACGTGCCACTGGCTGTGAGGTTCTCTACGGACACATACCACTGGCTGTGAGGTTCTCTACGGACACATGCCACTGGCTGTGATAGTTTCTACAGTTTACAGGGACACTGGCTGTGATATTCTCTACGGACACATGCCACTAGTGTGGGGGAGCGGAGGCGTGGGTGGGAGGTAGGCGTGGGTGAGAGGGGGCGTGGCGTGGGGGCAAAGCAGTGGACAATACGACACACTAACGAGTCATATCCTCCTGTTGGTGGACCAGCCGGCACTTGGCAGTTGTTGTACAATCATGACCACACCGCTCTCCTGTTGTGGTGGTGGTGGTGCCTCCCTGTCTGTCTTCCTCCTTATCTGTCTTTCTCCCTGTCTGTCTTCCTCCCTGACTTTCTTTTTCCCTGTCTTTCTTTCTGCTTGGATGTCTTTCTCTCTGTCTTTTTGCCTGTCTGTCTTCCTACCTGTCTCTCTGCTTGTCTGCCTTCCTCCCTGTCTTTCTTCTCCCTGTCTTTCTCCTCTGTCTGCCTTCCTCCCTGTCTTTCTTCTCCCTGTCTTTCTCCTCTGTCTGTCTTCCTCCCTGTCTTTTTTCCTCTGTCTACCGTCCTCCCTGTCTTTGTTTCTCCCTGTCGCCCTCCCCCCCTATCTGTTTGTTTGTCAGTAGCCTACCCATCTGCTTACCCGTCTACCTGCCACATGCCTGTATATCTTCCTACTGTTCTGTCTCCCTACTCGTCTGCCCTCCTCTTCCACCTTCCTTATCTGCCACTATCCTATTTATTCTCTCTTGTTATTCTATATTACCTTATTTTTATTACAATGTCCTGTATTATATCGTTTATTGATTTATCGCCAATGTTTAATTCGTTTATATTTTAATTAGAAGAATTACTCGATCGAATTTAATGAAGCCGTCTCGTTATACACCGACCCCGAAGCTTCAACTTAATAGGATTTTAACTGAGTCGTGAATCCTAACCTAACCTAACCTAACCTAACCTAATCTAATCTAACCTAACCTATAGAATTAACTTTGTGTTTAAGCTGTATAAGAAATATTTAAGAAGTGTGTGTGTGTGTGTGTGTGTGTGTAATTACACTTCTTGGCTTGATCTGTTGATGTTTAAAACTTCTCTCTCTTTTAGCATTCTTCCCTACTTTGATGCTATTAGGCTTTTACACCTTCATTTAGGTCTATGTACTTTAACTCTTTCCTTTAGGCCTATGTACTTTCACCCTTTCTTTCAGGCCTATACGCTTTTACCCTTTATTCGAAGTTAATGAATAAAGTTAAAAGGTAGATTTTTTTTTTACTACTCGTCACTATGTTATCCAATCCTACGTGTTCACATATCTATTTGTATTTCCTTTTGTTATTAATTCATTCAATGATTTTTTTTCTTGTCATTTTAACATTATTTTTATTTCACATTTCATCCTCTATTACTCACATGATAAAATTTTGTAGCGATGTTAATTTTGATTTTAATTATTTTTTACGTTCAATTTTAACTTGGTTGTTAATTTTCGCTGTAATTTTAACTCTTAATCCGTAGAAGTGATGTTAATTTTTTTCGACTGTAATTTTAACTTTTATATTAATCCTGGCTTTAATTTTAACTCACTTTAGTTAATTTGTATTTTTATCTAATTTAGTGATTTTTAACTGTATTGTGATTTTTTTTTGTAATTTTACTGAAAAATTAACTAATATTATCAACTTTTGCTTCACTCTCTCTTGTTCTTTATCTCTTCCCTCTTTTACAATTAGTTTTTATTAACTTGTCCTCCCCTTTATTACTTCATTTATTAAGAGTTGCTCCATTTTCCTTCAGTTTGTTATATATTTACTGATCATTTCTCTCAATTATTGCCATTTCTCCCTGTATTTATTCGTTTATTAATTTCTTCCTCTACAATAACTCGTTATCCTCTACAGTAACTCGTTATCCTCTACAGTAACTCGTTATCCTCTACAGTAACTCGTTATCCTCTACAGTAGCTCGTTATCCTCTACAGTAACTCGTTATCCTCTACAGTAACTCGTTATCCTCTACAGTAACTCGTTATCCTCTACAGTAACTTGTTATCCTCTACAGTAACTTGTTATCCTCTACAGTAACTCGTTATCCTCTACAGTAGCTCGTTATCCTCTACAGTAACTCGTTATCCTCTACAATAACTAGTTATCCTCTACAGTAACTCGTTATCCTCTACAGTAACTCGTTATCCTCTACAGTAACTCGTTATCCTCTACAGTAACTCATTATCCTCTACAGTAACTCGTTATCTCTACAGTAACAGTAACTCGTTATCCTCTACAGTAACTTATTATCCTCTCAGTAACTCGTTCAGCCTCTTTTTAACCTCTTTCCGCAACCTGGCAGCTTATTGATGTTTTTAGTGTGTGTGTGTGTGTGTGTGTGTGTGTGTGTGTGTGTGTGTGTGTGTGTGTGTGTGTGTGTGTGTGTGTGTGTGTGTCGCCGGCTCGAATATACGTGTACATATATATTAACAAACTAATTAGCTTTTTCATGTGTCATTAACTTGTAAAATAACCAGTTTGTGTATGTATGTATGTATGTATGTATGTATGTATGTGTGTGTGTGTGTGTGTAGTGTTTATTTTTGTAACAATTCTATTCATAATTTGTACTACCAGCCATAAATTACATGATAGGATTTAATCGTAAATTTTCACACATATATCAGTTCTCATCAAACAAAGCGTGTAATGGATGATAGCTGTAAAATTTCCTATCTTGTAAACAAAGGCGAAACTGACTGTAAACAACCATGATAACAACCAGCTATCATGACCCTATACTACCATGATTTTTCCCCAGCTACCATGATTTTACAGGTTACTATGATTCATACTACCTACCATTATCCATACTACCATGATTTTACCACCTACCATGACCCATGCGACGTACACCATGATTCCATACTATCATGAATTTACTAGCCAACATGACCCATACGATCTACCATGATCCATAATACCATGATTTTACCAGCTACCATGATTCCCATACTATTTTTAAATTACTACCTACCATGATCGCTACATTATCATTAAGTAACTAACCTACCATAAACCATTGATTGCTACATCCTTTGTTATTCACCATGATTTCTCTCTCTCTCTCTCTCTCTCTCTCTCTCTCTCTCTCTCTGATGGGGGGCAATAAAATGTACGTAATTTTGCTTCCGAGTCTTAGGAAAATTTGACACCGCCTCTCTCTCTCTCTCTCTCTCTCTCTCTCGTGTAGTTAAGATATGTGGGTAGTGTATAAGAGACAAAGAAAACGGGAAAATGTATTGAGGGAAGAGGCTGGCTGTTGTATGTATGTTAACTCTATGTGAAGGGTGATGGATGCAGGGAAGAATATGTGTATACAGAAAGAAGATTGTAAAAAATAGTGAGAAAAAATTATAAAAATGGTAAAAATGAGAAAATGAATAATTGGAAGATAGACTAACACAGAGTTTCAAAGATAAATGAACTTTGTATTAGAAGGGAGTGAATGTGGACACAGAAGAAGAAAGAATAAGTGGAAATGGCAGGTGAAAGAAACTAGAAAATTAAAAGGGAGATGATGAGGAATTAAACAGTTTGTAAAAAAATTGAAATATAATGTACGTAAAATTATCGAGAATGAAATGTTAAATAGAGAAAAGAAATCAAGTTTAGGTGTAACTACTGTAGAAATGTTAAGGGAGGGAGGAAAGAGAATTAACATAAGCTGGAGTTAATGTTCAAGTTACTGTTATATTACCCTGTTACTGTACGGAATATGGACAAAAGGTGCACTGTAAAATAAACACTATGCAAAAGGTGTATTACTGAGAGAACAGTACACAGAAAGGGCACTATAGAATGACTCTACACAAAGGGCACTATAGAATCACTCTACACAAAGGGTCTCTCGACATTAATGTTTAACTCTACAAACACCGTATACCGTCCCTCCTATCCTTCTTATCCGGCTTACTGCTGCCACGTTATACTCTACCTCCCCTGTGGCTCTGTTCCTGGCACTGTCACTATTCATTACGTAAGAGATGATAACTTAGTGCCTGGAGTGACATTATAGTTGGTGTATCGTTTTGGTCGTTTAGTGTTGAATTGTTTTTGTTTGAGAGAGAGAGAGAGAGAGAGAGAGAGAGAGAGAGAGAGAGAGAGAGAAATTTCATATATGATTAATTTCTGTTTCAGTTTGTCTATATTGTTTTGATGAGTTAGGGAATAAATTTCACATATTCCTGAAGTATTGATATTGGAGAAATTACCCCCATTGGCTTTAATTGTGATGATATTGATGAATATACCTGCCGTCATTCACTCACCTTTACTAACAACCCCTACCTACCTGACTCTTATTATACACGTGTTTTATTTATCTTTTCCCCCCACACTTTCCTCACCTCTGGAGTGTTGTGTCACTGATGTACACTGCATCATTTTGTAATCCTAAACATAAAACAACTTTTTGTCACAAACACTGGCGACCTGTAGAGTTTGTAGGTGTAAGGAACAGATTCTATCACCAGTATAAAACAGACGACAAAATTCACTGTATATATTTATAGTTTATGTTTATTTTGGATTTAGTTAGCTTAAGGTAACTTCGAGTGGGTTAGGTTAGGTTAGATTAGGTTTGGTTAGATTAGGTTTGGTTAGGTTTGGTTAGGTTAGGCTAGGTTTGGTTAGGTTAGGTTTGGTTAGGTTTGCTAGGTTTGGTTAGGTTTGCTAGGTTTGGTTAGGTTAGGTTAGGTTTGATAAGACTACCTTATAACCCTGTCTGGCCGCTGGGGGAGAAGTATCAGCACCCCGCACCAGCACCTTGTTGTGAGGCACCATGATGACCTGCCAGTGTTAGTGCAGCACTTACCTGAGAGTAGTAGCAACGCCAGCAGGAGGCCACACGCCGCCGTAATCCCTTGAGGACCTGCCATACTGGAGCACAACCTCGGGCTATACGAGCTGGCCCTCTTAGTGGTCTTCCTCCCACCGCCTCCCTGCTTGACTCCTCCTCGAGCTGCTCTTTGGGTGTTTCCTCTGTCGTCTTTCTCTCTTTCCTCTGATGTTCTTTGAAGATTTACACACTTTAAAAACTTTCTCTGTTTATGTATTATTTTCTTTGTACTGGTAGTCACTGCCTTCCAGTCTCTCTCCAACCATTTACTTAATTTTAACATAAGTGGTAATGGTAATGTTAATTGTTATAATCCTTACACTTACTTCCTCCTTTCTACGCGTTTACTCTTTAAAAAATCAACTTTTCGTTTTTCATTGTTTTCTGTGATATTTTATGCAGCGTTTAATTACCCGTCTCATAGAACTCGACAGAGAGCTTTAGTTGGCTGTACAAATTACTTTTTTTAGTTTCTATAAAGTCTGTATATATTTATGTTAGTACCAAGATAAATATCGCAACACATAATTTATTTTTGGTTATTTTTCAATGTTCAAGTCACCAGTCTCCGGTTGTTAAGTGAAGCTGTCCCGGAATTTAACTTCATGAATATACACTCGCACACTCTTGATCTGGTGTTAAGGAAAGTACACCTTATAGCAGCCAGCCTCTCTCTCTCGCCTACCTGCTACCTTCACAACTATCTTTAACCCTTAACCCTAAATGTTCTTTTCGCTTATAAAGACAACATTCGCGATTGTTTTTTTTTTCACAGGTTTATATGTTGACACACTTCTTGATTTACTAGCTTCATGTTATGTCCGTGGCAGTACTTTCCTCTGGTCAGTGTGGCAGTACTTCGCTCTGGTCAGTGTGACAGTACTTCCCTATAGTCAGTGTGGCATTACTTCCCTCTGGTATGTGTGGTAGTATCACTGTTTGGTCAGTGTGGCAGTACCTCACTCTGGTCAGTGTGGCAGTACCCTCTGATCAGTGGGGCAGTACCCCTCTCTGGTCAGTGGAGCAATACTTCCCTCTCTGGTCAATGTGGCAGTACTTCCCTCTGGTCAGTGTGGTAGTACCTCTCTCTGGCCAGTGTGACAGTACTTCCCCCTCTGGTCAATGTGGCAATACTTCCCTCTGGTCAGTGTGGCAGTACTTTCCTCTGGTCAATGAGACAGTACTTCCCTCTGGTCAGTGCACAGGTCTTGTATCGTTTCTCAATAACAATAGATTTTCTATGATTCCCTGCGCATAATTTTTTTGTATTTACGTCACTGTTTCAATCTTTTTATGAGTATATAAAAGTACCCCGAGTAGGTACAGGTGTGGGTCGTTTATATAAGATTCATGTGATATTTGCACTCCTCACTTGTATTATTCGTTGTTACCTAAATGTGAATATTGCGATTAAATTCATTTTCTGTCTCTTCTCAAACTTTTACGTCTTCTATTACAAGTGGAAATTTCAGGCTTGTATTTCAAGTTTATAACCTTTGAATTCCTGTTATTTATAGCTTTTGGATTCCAGATAACTCACTCATACACAAGTGGCTGAACCTCGCACACATGAATTACATTTTCTGTTGATCTCTGACCTCTATATCGCCCTCCTAGTATAGTCGAGAAAACCTCCAGTAATAACGACACACACGGGAGAAATGTAAAGCTCGTGACGCACGAGTAATGACGAAATATCCAAACTCTTTTACTGGTAGAATTATGTGAGTTTTTCTTAGATGACGATCATGAATTTGGAGAGTCGTCGGTAGATCACTGAAGATTCTGAATGCATGACACGAATCAGTGATAATTCTGCTTCTGATTTATTTATCATTGTGTAACCTGGCTTTAGTTTTCCACAAATAAGTGTGACTCATGCAAGAGTTTTTAGATTTTTGTTATAACATTCGCAATAACATTACGTAGCCTCGGTATCATTGGCTATAACACTAGTAGTGACGTGGGTGTGACGTAGCCTTAGTGACGTGGGAGGACCTCTAGTGGCCAGGGAGGGAGGCAGAGGCCATCTCTACCTCGGTCCTGAAAATGACAAGAAACAAATGTCAAGTTGGTCCTGAAGAAAATTAAATCACTACCAAATTTCTATAAAAATAAAATTGGAGAAAAAATTACCACTACTTCGGTCCTGAAAAGAATAGGCATACCATATTACTTTGATCCTCGAAGGACAATGGAGTAAACATTAGTTGTTCTTAGGAGCCAGAACACCAATATTCCCTCGGTCCTAGAGGCTGTAGAGGCAAGACCAGTATATATCTGTAATAGAAAAATGTTGAAGCACTCTGCTACCATCATCACTGAAGAGAATAATACGATACTATACCACACAATAAACGCACAAAAGAACCGGGAAGTTATTATTCTAATTAAAATCTCATGGATGAAATATAACAACTAATAGAATGTAAAAAGATTGAAAATGATTTACACTGAAATACATAAAACAAATGACTTAAGCAAATGACAATTAATAGAAATAACAAAATGTAAATAAAACGATGAATGCTTAAGCCAAATAACTACCGGTTAGGTGAACATAAAAACACACTAGTGACATTTATTAGTGTGGATGACCTTTACTAACAGGGTATAACTATCCCCACTGGTGACACACGATGCTTTAATAACACAGTCGAGTAGATCAATTATTGTGTCATACTCGCTGGCTCAGAGGCATGGTAATTTCTTCTCAGCTCTGTGAGGTTGACGGCTCGATCCTCACTGGTAATGGGATCTTGTTGTGTTGTGTGGATGGATTCATATGTTTTGTTGTTATAGGGATTCCAGATCACCTGAATATTAGCCTCTCTCCCCCCCTCCCCCCCACTCCCGCCCCAGCTTATTTCAGTCGATTCAACAACTTAGCACTACCTGGGGTGAGGGGGTAGGTTAGGTTAGTTTTAGAGTGGTTAATCTTCAGGTAATCATACGAAATATTATTATTATTATTATTATTATTATTATTATTATTATTATTATTATTATTATTATTATTATTATTATTATTATTATTATTATTATTTTTATTTTTATTTTTATTTTTATTTTTATTATTTTTATTATTATTTTTATTATTATTATTATTATTATTATTATTATTATTATTATTTCAAGAGTATAAATACTTGCATAAATAAGATAACATAATCTACCTGACCTTAATAGCGTCATTGATTTAATCATTGTAAAAAGAGAAAAACTTTGTTCGATATTCATAAATAATCAAATAGTCGATAAGGTTGAGAGAAGTAATATCTCAATCTCTCTCCCTTGTGTGAGACTGTGACGTAAGCATGAATAATGAATGAAAGAATGACGTCACACGATCAGAGATTACAAACTTTTATGATTTTGAAACTATAGCGATTTATCAGTGAAATAAATAAGTTAATAATAACAAATAAGTTATGTCGTGTTTTTGTATATGTATAAACTACTGTATATAACTCTAAAGGACTTAAAAATGATGTCCCCCCACAAAAAAAAAAAAAAAAAAATACTAAAAAAAATCTCTTCATCACGTTAAATATCGTTCATACAACGCTCACACAAAAACACTCCGCTCCCAAATCTGGTCAAAAACTGAGTCCCGACTTTTTACTGCAGTTTCCCCTGAGTCCCATTGACCGAAGTGGTAACAGGTTTTTTGCAGGGATCATAAATTGAAAACAAAAAGGTATGTATGTATGTATGTATGTATGTATGTATTTCTGATATAGAAACTATTTTTTTGGAGGTATACACATGTGGGAAAAAATGAGAGAAAGAGATAGAGACAGAGAGAGAATTTTGAGCAGGTGTGTGATTTAGTTTGTGTTATAATGTGTAGAAAATGGAAGGTTTTTTTTCTTATGGCGAACTTAAACAAATCTCTCTCTCTCTCTCTCTCTCTCTCTCTCTCTCTCTCTCTCTCTCTCTCTCTCTCTCTCTCTCTCTCTCTCTCATCCATATCCCCACTCCTTACTCTCACACATTCTACCTCTTTCCACTCCCTCTCTCCTATCTACGCTCCTCATCCATTCCCCCATTATTTTTCTTTTTGTCTCTTGCATCCATCCTCCTTCTCACTCCTCTTCCTCCTCTTCACCCTCCTTCTCTCTCCTCACCTTCCCATCCCCTCCCACCTCCCTGTCACTCTTCACTCCTCCTCTTCTCCCTCTTCCCTCTCCTCCTCTCTCTTCACCCTCCCAGCATCTTTCCTCCATCTCGCCTCTCCCCTTTTATTTTCTATCTCCCCACCCATCTCCCATCCACCCCTCCACTCTCACCATTGTCCCCGCCCCTCCCTCACATAACCCGGAAATAAATCGTCCTGGTGTCCTAACCAAGACCTCAGTTATAAGAGAGATCTCAAAGGTTCCTGCTCCCTTTTGTTTTATCTTCAGTGATACCGATACCTTGATGTGTGCTGCATTATAGATACGATGCATGATGATGATGATGATGATGATGATGATGATGATGATATGATAATGATGGTGATGATGATGAAAATTATGATGACGATGACAACAATAATGAAAATAGTAAGAATGATGATGACTACGGTATTTCTAATAATAATAATAATAATAATAATAATAATAATAATTCCAACAATAACGACAATAATATTAATATGATAGAATATTCATCACTTCCAATTAACATGCAATAAAATTTAAAACTAAAATAAATTACTAGATAGATGGATAAATAAATCAATTAATAAAAATCACATGTCAGGTTTCATTAATTTATTTTACAGGACAAAGATGAGCTGACATGACGTATGTATATTTGTTTGTTCACCACCACAGGTATAAAGTTTTAATGAAAGGTAAATTCTCCATCTCCATATCTAGGAATTTTTTTTTTAGATAAGACAAACGAAGATACATTTTATAAGAGAAACTGGTAATGAAGCCAGAATAAAAACACAACTTTAAATACTACGATGAAAAGCAGACCGGAGTGATGCCTCATTTCAGACTTTGTGGTCAGAGAGTAATAATCTTCCTACTCACGGCACTATGAAAACAAATCTCACCTTGTAAAATACAGTAATATATAGGTAATGGTACAGTATATTAGATGATAAACCTGTATTCTGGCTGTACTCTACCTCATCCACAGCTATGTATACAGATTCACGACGATATATTATGAGAACGCGTGAAGAAGAAGAAAACAAAAGACGCATGACTCCTTCCCTAACACGTGTGAAAAATTTCCCATGACGTCGGTAAAGCGGAAACCAATAACACTTCTCACTCTCTACCCCCGAGTAAAGTATGGAAATGATGCCTTAAATTATAAAGCGTTTTAACTCTTGAGGAATGTTTCGATTTGTTACGATCTTTTAAAAGTTATTGAAAGGAAAATGCTTTTATGATTCCAAGCCAAAGATGCAATGTATTTCGAGAGCTGGGGTGGAATTTTTGGTCAGAGATGCAAGCGAGTGTGTTCAAAATTCCACGTAGATAAAATTCCATTCCGGTTTTTCTCTCTCGCTCTCTCTCGGATGTGTGAAATTTAGGCGGTAGCAAGATAATGAACAAATAAAGATAAATGGGGTAATATTCCAGGTGATATATTTCCTCGGCTTTCATTCACCCGCTTGTAAAACGCGATGGGATTTTTTTTTTTCTTTGCCAGTTTTGTTTACGTTCGTGATTCGGTATGCACTTAGGTATGCATTTTTGTTTTTTTTAGCTTCCAGGACAGATGTCACAGTCTACCACATCTAGGAGGTTAATATTGACGACTAACCCGCCGACGGATTATTTGTACTGTATGTCTGGTCAGGTGTCGTTAGCCTTTTTATTACCAAGTTATTGTTTGTCCGATGCCTTACACTCACAACCCTTGGAAGACCCAACTAACAGCCGTGGAGAGCTAGGAGACCCAACTGACAGTCGTGGAGAGCTAGGAGACCCAAATGACTGCCGTGGAGAGCTAGGAGACCCAACTGACAGCCGTGGAGAGCTAGGAGACCCAAATGACTGCCGTGGAGAGCTAGGAGACCCAACTGACAGCCAAGAGGAGTTAGATGATCCAACTGACAGCCGTGGGGAACCTAAGACAGCCTTGACAACATCATTCACGTAATAAGGAAAACAAGCGGTCCCAATATAGATCCTTGAGGTACACCTTACTGAACTATAATTGAAAGTCTGAACACAATTGTCTACGATTATTCAGATAAGAAATGGGATATTTATTTCTGATTTAATTTAGTGAGAAGAAGGATGTTACGGTCAACTATATAATGGGCCTTAGACAAGAGAAATACAAAAAGGTGTGTGTGTGTGTGTGTGTGTGTGCATTTTTTCGTTTATGTATGTATTTATTTCCTATGTAACAGAGCACGTCATGTGATATATATTCTTGTCACCTGTTTACAGTGACTACCACCGTTGACAGCACTTCCCTCCCTCCCTCCCTCCCTCCCACACAGATATCCGTACTCCTTCACTCACTCTACCGCCAACTCACATCTATCTACCCTCTCTCCAACTCCCTCTCTCTCTCTCTCTCACACATACACACACACCTGTCTTCCTCCCTCTGTTCCCTCCCACACTCCACTATACCCTTTCACACACACGTCATCTCCCTCTCTCTCTCTCATCATATGTAAGTGTTTCTCTAGCAGGAAATAGCGTCGCTTACATCCATCCTCCTCCTCCTCCTCCTCCTCCTCCTCCTCCTCCTCCTCCTCCTCCTCCTCCTCCTCCTCCTCCTCCTCCTCCTCCTCCTCCTCCTCCTCCTCCTCCTCCCCTCCTCCTCCTCCTCCTCCTCCTCTCCTCTCCTCTCTCCTCCTCCTCTTCCACTCTAAGCTTAACTCCACTTGACATTATTTTTTTTCATCCATCATTACTCTCCTTAAGGCTCCTACAAGCTGTCTATCTAGTTGGAGGATTCTGTAGGACTCTGTAGGATACCCCAGCTTCAGTTTCCCAGCACGCCCTTGCTAGTAGTATCATCCCTGGGGTTCAGTGATATTCCTGTAAGGTGTATTGCTTTGTCTGAG